GAATATGCCTTATTTATCAATTAGCCTTTTGAAAGTGTGTATATGACTTTAGTATTTTGAGAGTAATCCAATTCAAATTATAAATTTGATTATAGAAAAAATAAGATAGGTTATGCACAAGATCAAACAACGATTTTTTTAGCATATACATCAGTTCCAGTTTCTTGATGTTGTTTTGCATTTAATTCTTTTAAGTCAATAATGAAAAAGGATTTCATTTTGTTTTATTAAATGTAAAATTTCTTCTTCATTTCATTTGATATGTTTATGATATCTTAGTTTGATACTCTATGTCATATATTCGTGTCTTAAAATGAAGAAGATATACTCGTATAATATTCGTATTTTAAAATAATTAAAAATCTAAATTAATTTAAACTTATCTTTAAAAAAGAAGACAATTTTGTGTCTCTAATTCAATTAATCATAATTTTTTTAACAAGATTTAAGTGTTTTTCTTTCTATAATCAACATTTTATTCATCAAAAAGTATTAGGGATATTCCAACTCAATTTACAAATTATACACCTCTTTCATACAACAAGATTACCTAAAGGTAGTCAGTTGGACATTTACACCATTCATAATAGTTACATTTAATTCTATGGTTTAATCCTATAGACAACCACCACCACAAGAAGATTATGATTCTTTGCATAATCACCACGAAATCATCGATTTCATTATTGACATTTTTGGACAGCTCCATTTCATACTTGCAAACCAAGCCAACATATGATCATAACACAACTCTTCACTAATCCATGACACACCAATCCAATCCACGATTTTCTTCAACCAATATAATTCGAGGGCAGGAAATAAAAACATGATTGATATCTTCATTATAATTAAAACAGAACATGCATACTTTATCATGGATATGAGTAATGATTCCTCTTAATTCGAGCTGAAAGTCTAATCAACCTCCAACCAAAAATTCACTTTCATTGGATTCTTTATTTTCCACATTACTGATAGAACTGCCTTGGGTGGAGACTCCATCTTGATCGTGCCCACAGCCTGCAACAACTTTTTATAGCATGATTTGACAGTAAACAAATTAAAAGGCCTCTACGGCCACAAGATGATATCATTAGTATCCTTCTTGGTGTAGTGATTTTATGGAGATTATTCCGGGATAGAGTAGCAACGAGACAATAGTTGGCAATTAGAGAGGCATCATCTTTGACAGTTTTAGCTCGTCCTGCGTTGGTTGCGACAATTATGTTGAAACATCTTCCCACCTTTTCTCTGAGTGTGCGTACTCGATTAGAGTTTGGAGAAGTGTAGATAATTGGTTAGGCCTAGAAACAGAGAGGAGTTTGAACTATGCTACTTTTTTTGTCAACTTCGATAGAAGATTGAGGAAGGAGACTGGGAAATATTTTGGTAACTTTTTTTTAATAAGGAATGGAATTAACACAAAAAGCACAATGGGTACTCAAACCTTTACAAGAGTCAAAGGTAGAAAATTACTTTCGTTTGATACAACAAATCGGCGAAGTGAACCACTCATAATAAGAGCAAGAGTGATCCAAGAGACCGTTAAAGCAAAGTCAACTCCAAGGAAAAACTTAATGGAGTTAACTACTTCTATTAAACTATAAGGCTCATCTCTAAAAATGAGATTATTTCTACTCCTCTAAATACACCAAATAGCGAAAGCCCATATGATAACACCTTTGTTGTTATCAGCCGCCATCTTCAATCTTTTGTGAAAACTAGCAAAAGATGTTGCACAATTCGAGCTTGCTTCACAACTAAACCAGTCCAAATCTCCAAACCTCTCCAAATACTAACAGCAAATCCGCATTCCCAAAAAAGATGAATAGATGATTCGATAACATCGTCGCCCCCTGCGCACGCTGGACCAAAGCCACCAAAATAAATACCTCTCTTGATCAATTGATCTTTAGTTGTCAATCTGTCTAATTTGAGGGCTTATTGTTTAGTGCATATGGAGGAGTAGGAATAATTTGATTTTGAGAAATGATATGTTGACACCATTATTTACACTTACACTATAATTGAATACATACAACGCACCAATCCATTTTTAAATAATGTATTTTGTCTGGAATGTTGTGCACAAGAAAGTTTTTCTTTACTATAAATTATGTTGTAGCATACGTTGTATCAAATATCAGTGTCAAAATAACATGGCTCTTTGATATTTAGAGATACACCCTTTTATGTTTTAGATGACTTGAATTCTATTAAGTATATGTCCTGGAGGTGATTGTGTACTAACTTTATTTTAATCCACTATTGTTCTTTTTATGACTGGTTTGCATCTCCCATTAGCTGTATCAAAGGGAAGTAATTTTTCGTGTTATCTTTTGTAAGGAGTATCCCTTGTACTTTTTAAAAGTTAATCCCATTGCATATTAAAAAAAGAAAGCAATTGCATGAGTTCTTGATACTCCTGCCTCAATACTCTACCTCAGTATGCTATCCTCCTCCAAATTATTAAAACCTAGAACCTAGCACCCATTGCAAGACTTCCCGTTCCTACACCCCATATCCCTCACCACCACGTGTTTCATATCAGATGATAAATATTCTATAGTGTGGTGTGGCCAATCGACCTAGAAGCTAAAAAGGAAATAGAAGCTCTATCACCTAGTCTACACAATAAGAACTTAGAAAAACCAACAGACTCTATTGATTGACAATTGACTCTTAGCACATCCTTGGATATAAAGCTAACAATCTACTCAACTAAATTAATCTTGTTTTTACATGTTTTTATTTAGATATCAAACGGGTGTACATAAGAGATGTACATATAAAATATATTTCCTAAATAATATATTTTTTCTATTATCAATTTTTATTCTTTTGCTCCGCTATTTGAGATGCCTTTTCAAATTTGTAATTCTGCGATATATAATTTGTACATAACTTTTAAAGTAGACTTGTTATCACCATTGCCGTAGCAAGATTTAGAAAGATTTTGAGAAATCATATTTAGCCAACTTTAGAATCTAAAGAGAACTAAAACAACTTATACGGTGTCATGTAACATAGCTGAATGTTTACTTTGTGGATAATAGACTTACTATATAGATAGTTATAATCAAAATAAAATAGGTCAAAACATTTTTTGAATAGACTTTAATTGGTATGTATTGACATTATCATCTAATAAAAATTTATTAACCTGTCATATCATATTATTAATTTAAAATTTATAGTTTGATGTGGCGGAGTACATGAGAACGATTGGTTGACAGTATACAATAATTTTATCCTGTCAGTGCATACCAATTAAATTCTTTCTTTTAAGCGTAAAAGTTAAAACTCTTTATATTAATCAATGTTTAAAAATCAGACAGATTATCGACTAGATCAAGCTACTAAGTCACTGAGTTACTAGTCGGACCATTGGATTATTGGTCGAATCACATGACTTCTAATAAGATGACTTCTAATAATGTAAAAATATAATTGTTTTAAAAGGTTACAATTCCGATTTTTAAAATTTAACAAAATTTTATTTTTATAATTTTAATATTATTTACTTATTATAAATAATTAACATAATTATAAATATTAATAAAATTGAATTTTAAAGCAAAACACCAAAACTTAAGAAAAATAAAAATAAATGGATTAAAATTATATATTAAACTAAAAAATAAACATAAAAAAATTAATACGTCGGTTTAAAAAATCTATCAATTAATTGATATAATCAATGAATTGATAGGATCATATCGATTTTAAATCAATTGTAATTGTGATTCAATAAACTTGCCGAATCACTTTATCTTCTGAATCATGATCTAATCGATCTATTATCCGGAATAGTCCAAATTTTAAAATACTGTCATTTACAAAGTGTAAGGTAAATGGTAGAGTTCAATGATGTTCTTTTTGAATTTGCATTAACCTCTACCTCCTAAAATCAAAATATTTTATTAGTAAAAAGTAATATTAAATAATATAATTGTTCTCATAATAATATTGATACTAATTAGGGCTGGACAGAATATCCATTTCGAACCGAATCCGATAGGCCCATTGGATATTTGTAGCACTCGGGTGGGTATTGATAGGTCACGGGTCAACGAATTAAATACATCTGGGTTGGTTTTTGGCGGTTTCGGGTGTGTAAAATAAATCCAGCGGAATTCAATACCGACCGACTTTTTAGAAATTTAATTTATCTATTTCATTTATTGTATGACATTGTTTGAGAAATTAAAGTTAATGTTAATAAATATATTTTATTCTCTCATTTTTCCCTCATCTTTCTCTCTCTCGACTCTCTTTCTCAATTCTCTCAACCCAGATCTTCTTCATTCTTGTTATGCCTTCCCATCTCAAATCAAAATCTAAAGTCACAACTATACACATGCAAGGGTATTTGCATATCAGCTCTACCTTTTATATCTACCTTTTAAAGCATCAGATCTTTCTTTTGGTATTAGATGTATTTGTTGGGTTTCTTTATTCACGTAACAATGAAGATAAGAAATGAAAATATGAAGAGGCTAGAAGTTCTATGTACAAGCTATATATATTTGCTGGGTTTCTTTCTTTATTTGAAAAGTGTAGATTTTTCTCTGTTTTTTTTAGATTTGAAACTTTAAACCGTTTCAACTCACCCGAACAACCGACAATTCGTCGAAGCCGACAACCGATCTAACCGATGACACTGATGGACGAAAATAGGTGGAAAGTTTTCATCCGCGGTTGGTCTCCGGTTCCTTATTTTTGATCCGCCACCGACCAAACCGAACCGTTGTCCACCCATAATACTAACCTAAGAATAGAAAAATCCAATCTGTACCGCTTATTTAAAGTAACCACGTACGAACTGTCACTTTAAAACAGTCTTAGGCGTGTCCACTTACATCATAATTAAAGACTAAACATAAATCTCATATCCCAAAAAAGACTCTTCAATAATCACTATATAAACCCATCATCCCCATGCATCAAACTCACACCAAGCATTCAGTCTATAAGATATCACTTTATTTCTTACCATGAGTAACTTCAAGATGTGCATGGCTTTGTTGTATGCAGAAAATGGTGGTGCAATTTCATGGGGACAAATCACTAGTAGCCTTACGCCATGCATGCGTTATCTTGAGTATAGTGGTGCTGTTTCGCCGAGTTGTTGTTCTGGTGTTAAAGGATTAGTTAATGCAGCTCGAACTATTGATGACCGCCGTACAACTTGTGAATGCTTGAAGTCGGATGCTGCTTCATTTAAAGAAATCAACATAGGCTATGCTGCTGCCCTCCCCGACAAATGTGGAGCTAGTATCCCTTACAAGATCGATCATTCCACCAACTGTGCTAGGTATACATCTATTACTTAGTTATAATTAAAATTATAAATGAAAATTTTGAAGCTTCTCAGCTGAACTTTATAAGAAGGGTCTCAACTATTTTTAAAATTAGTAATTAAGTTTAAATCAAATTTTAAATTTTAAAAGGGACATAAAGAAATTGTATTATAAGAAATTTCAAATTAGTTTAAAGATGTATTATTATTATTATTTTGATTTAATTACAATTTTGTTCTATTATTTTATCTCATTTATAAGTTTTTATTTTTTATTTTAAACTTAAACAATTTTGTTTTCTTTTATTCGTTTACACTGAAAATTGATAAATTATCCTATTACTTATTACATGTCATTAAAAAATTAAAAAGTTAGTATGTGTTAGATCCCAATTATAGTATATATTTGATCTCTATTAGTAGTATTTTTACTTGCTTTTATCTATTAGTGTGTGAATTAGTAGGAGTGTTGGAGCACCTTGGAAAAGATGAGATAGAGCTGCTGGAAGAAGCTGGATATCAGAACATTCGTCTGGCGAAGCTCAACGAGTTCCAGTGAATGTTCGCCTGACGAGTATTGGCGAGGCAGGGCGAGTAATTCAAATTAAACTCCCAGGCCAAAAGGGCATAAAGTTCGCTTGACGAATGGTTCTAGTGAAGCTTCGCTACCATTCGCCTAGCAAAGGAGCTGGCGAAGGATCCTTGGATATTCCAGTAGCAAACCAACATAATCTTCGCCTGGCGAGTGAAGCCAGCGAAGGTTCGCCTGGCGAATGATTCCTTCGTCTTGCGAATGATTCCTTCGCCTGGCGAAGGCGCGATAACTCAGAAGGGATGTTTGCTTGCTGGAGGCACTTTGAAGTGCCTTGTTTCATTTGGTTCGTCTGGCGAATGGGGGAAAGCAGAACATCTTTTGTACTTTATTTAGTGCTTTATAGGGATCATAACTTACTATCTTGAAAAATATCATCTTGTAACATTTTAACATAGTTCTAGAACTCCTAAAAAAAATAGTTTTTCTTGCTTTTGCTCAGTGTGTAATCAAGAGAAGTGGAATCACGTCCTTCTTCGATTCTTCGACGCGATGTACTTTCATCTTCTCCCTTTTCTCCTTGTTCAAGCTACCATGAAAATGAGTAGCTAAGTCTTTCATTTTGTCAAGGTTAGATGTAGATGGTCATAAGCTTTGTGTGTATATGGGTTGATCTTCATTTGTAAACTCTTTGATGGTGAATGTATGGTGAAAACCTTGTTTTATTGATAACTCTTTGTGTTGGTTTATTATTGAAAGGTGTTTTGCAACTATTTACCTAGGTTTTCATCCATCTATGTTCTTGAGCTAGAGATAGTTTTGAATGTGTTTGTTCACTAAAATGTCAAACCTAAAAGTTGTCATTTTGATAGATTGTGTGAGAAATCAACAATGGATCAAAATGGGAAAAACCACAAAGTGTTAGAAATAATCACATTGGGAGGATATTGTGAATGTGTTTATCATCTAATGGAGTTTATGAGTTTTGTTTGATCGAACATATGCATGCAAAGTGATCGTCGAACCCTAACTTTGACAATCTTTCTCAAATCGTAAAACCAAAACTTTTACCGTAATTTCTTACTTTTTATGCAAGCTACCGTAACCAAAAACCAAAACCCCCTTGTTACTATAAGTTAAGAAGTTAGCAATTGTCGAACGGCGGTAATATCACATAATCCCTGAGGACGATAACAAATCTCGATACTCTATCCCTCTTCTAACAAAATGCCGCCGTTGCCGGGGATTGTGAATTGATATTGCGAGCATCGCAATAGTTGCTGAATTTTTAACTTCTGAATTTTTGACTTGTGCTTGTTAATTTGTTGGATTTTGTGTGCAACTTTCGTTTTATGTGAGGGCAGGTTCCTGAGGACCAATTTCTTTTTGATCCCGAGATCGAAAGAACCGCAAGGAGACTGAATAGCAGAACGAGACGTAGGAGGCAACAAGCTAGACAATGACAAGAACAAGGAGAAGGTTCTTCTACAACACCACCACCACCTTTCACACCTACCATGGATCCACCACTACCACCGCCCGTTTCCACTCCATGTGTCAACAGTCCGAGGAATACTGCTCAGTTTGCCAACCACACGGGAAGCCAAGCCGAGATGAAGACGGGAACTCTTAACTTGCTATACAGAAGTCCATTCACCGGAATGGACCATGAAGACCCCTTTGCTTTTCTCACCAAATTTTACGAGATATCATTGGCGGCCGGAGTTGATCAAGCTCAAGAACTACCGTTATTCAAAAGACCTTTTCCTCACGCTTTGCTCGGCAAAGCCAAAGATTGGTACTTGGATCAAACACCTGCAGTCATGATGGATTGGAACGTGTTGGAAGAGAAGTTCATTGAAATGTTTTTCTCCCACAACCGGTTCATGGAATCCAAAACGGCTATCTCCGTGTTTTCGCAAGGAGCCAACGAATCATTGAATGAGGCATGGGAAAGATTTAAATCCATGCTTCGAAAGTGCAAAGGCCATGGTTTTGACGAATTGACACAAATCCACATTTTCAAAAACGACCTTCAACCTAATTGCAAGACTTTATTGGATGCTACCTCGGGTGGTTCTTTGTTGTCTAAAAGCGCCGCCGAAGCTACGAATATCATTTATTTTACCCAGCGGTCAGGCGGCCGATTTTATTTTATTTTGCAGGATAACGGTAGTTCAGAAAGCAACACTCAGGCTCGTGTCAAGCATTTTTATAGTGATAACGTTCAAGAACAAGGTTCAGAAGCTTAACAGAGCTCCAAACAGTTGAAACAGGGCAAATGTGAAGATTTCCCTCCAAAAGGCGTCAAATTCAAATTTTTGAAGGTGTTAATGGTTAACGCGTATGGTTAACTGATTAACCAAGTCAAATCAGGTCAATGTGGGGTTTTTCAAAGGTGTTAATCGGTTAACGCATATGGTTAACCGATTAACCAGTGCAATTTTTGCCTCTGTACGTGATTTTTCAATGCAGAGCCATTTGGGGTCCAATTTTAATCACTTGAATTCAAATTTTACACTTTGGGAAGGATCTAGAACATATTCAAATTTTGGTTGATTTTCATTTCCCTCCAAAATCTCATTCATCATCCGAAACCAAAATTCACAAATCAATTTCCAAGCCTTTCCTTTGGATCCCAACCTAGGTGATATTTAAGTGATTCATTCCAAACTAAAGCTAGCTAATCTTCATTTCTCACTCCCATTTTTCAGAATTCATCTCAATTCTCTCAAATTCTCTCTCAATTTTCCAATTCCAAAACCTTCACTCAAAGCTCTTTTCCATTGAATTCTTTGATTCTTCCTTGGAATCAATGAATTCTTGAGCTCAAACTTCCATCCATCATCTCCATCGAAGTGATTTCATCATCTAATTTTCGTGCACAATTGGATCTGAATCTGGAAGTGATTTTGGAAGTGATTATTTGGCTTATTTTGGATTAATCTTGAAGGATCTCCATTGCTACTACAAGAATTGGTGTGGATCTTGAAGTATTTCGGACTTCTAGCATTGGATCTATTCAATTTCTGTTAATTCAACATTAACCGAAGCAATTCTCCGCTTCGAAGGTTGGAATTCTAGATCCATAGCATTTTTGAGGTTATTTGCATGCTCATGTTGATTTTCATATTCGATTGAATTTTGGTTGACATGATTGTGCATGTTGCTGTTTGGATCTGTTTACATGATGTTTGAATCATGATTTGCTGGTGGTTAATCGGATAAGTGCTTATTTGCTGCAAATGTTGTTCTGTTATTGATTTTCTGTTGTTGGCACAATGTTAATCAGTTAACGCATATGGTTAACCGATTAACCGTTACAAATTTCCAGATTTTTCAAAGTTTTCACAGTGTTAATCGGTTAACGCATATGGTTAACCGATTAACCCGTTCAAATTTTCAAAATTTTAAACATTAACAGTGTGTTAACCGATTAACCATTGGGGTTAACCGATTAACACTGTGCCAGTGGGTCTGTTTTGCTGTTTTGCTTGCTTATTTGAGTACCGTTTCACTTCAAATCATCGTAATTTGATATGCTGCATTAAAAGTGAAATGTTTTGGGATATATATCGCTGTTTTGACTATTTAATTGACACTTCGTCGACATTCGTGTTCTTTTCCACTTGAATGCATGATTATGGATGTGGTTCAAGGTGATGATTTTTGCATGTTCGTTTGTTTTCATCTTTTGGGCTTTCCTTCATGTTTGCATCATTTTTTGCATTGCTGTTGAGGTCGAGATGCGCTTGTGGCGACTGCTGCCCCACACATTTTTCCTCCCTCCCTTTATTCTAAGTGTGCATTTTCATGTATGCATCTCTTACTTGTGATTGAGTTTACTTGGTGCTTTCTTGTGCTTTTTGCCATGATCCCCATAGGGTTCCTAGTCCCTCCGTTTAGGATGGGAGTAGGAGAGACATTAGGTGTTGAATCCAAGCATGCTAACATTAGGGTAGATGTTCCCCCTTTTCAATCCTAACCTTAGGACTACTCTGCATGACAACGTTAGGGACGAGTTTCCCTTTGACCTTTCGTGCGTCTCTCTCTTCTCATCTCAAAATTATTCTAATTCATCTAACAAATGCGATGAACATTGCGCGCTACGAGCCTTAAGCTACATGGGAAATGATGAGTGAGGGGTCTCTTCTTGCTTGTCTAGAGTGTTTAGTGTCCGTCCCGTTTGGGGGCGATACACGACGCATTCGCTCCTATGTCATAGTCTTTAGTGCAACGTGAATCACAAACCGAATTAATGGACTTCACTAAAAAACACAAAAAAAATTTCAAACTTTTTTCCTTCGGGATTAATCGGAAATCATTTTCAGAAAAGAGTGTTGTTAAGCTTCAGTTCTACCGCAAACAGGCTTTGTCCATAACTGTTGGAACGGAGGTTTAATCTTACTCGGTTAAAATACTTAATCAACCGGTGGTTTCGTGTTAGCCCGAACTACGTTTGCTCTGATTTCTCATACCAGATGAGGATATGTAGGCACAAG